CTTTCCAATTAACTCCTAGATTAAAGAATCTTGTGAATATTCTCAGGATCATTGCCTTGCTTTGGAGGACTTTGGATTTCAAATTTTTGAGTTAAGGTTGCTCAGCCTTTAGTTACCTATTTAATCCTCCCCCAGGCCTTGAGGAAGCTGTTGTGCACCCCTGCCCATCAGTGGGCGAGTAAGTGGACCAAGGCCCAGGCTCTGCCCATCCTGTGTGGCTGCCTGGTGTTGTCCGTGTGGCACTTCACGTTGTCACCCTCTCACCTGTGCTTTGGCCCATGGCCATCCCCAAGAAACCCTAAGGCCCTACTTCAGCCCGGGGCCCAAGCCCACCGTTGCCACGCTGGTGCAGCAGGCCCTGATTAACACAGTTGGGGGGGCGGCTCCTGGAGCTGGCTTCACTGGGTGCTGCGAGGCAGGCGCTCCCAATGGTCCTGGGCTTGGCTGTCCCTCTTACCCCCTCCCCACCTCTCCCACCACCTGCCAGGGAAGCCCAGGCTGGGCTCAGTCGAGCTGAGCCACACACACACATCTGTACAGAGACCCCCTTGAGTTGCCCGTGTTTTTAGTAAATGCTATAGCAGTGGTTATCGGCAAGATACCAGAGCCTTCAGCTTAGCTGCCCAGGGTTGCACAAGCCCTCTGCCGAGGGCTGGATTTTATTGAAAGTATTTTGTGCATGTTTGCAGGGACAGTGTCTCAGTGAGCACCTCACTCACTGACCGCTTAGACAGTGAGTTCCCACCCCACTGGGCCCCCTGCTCACTGGCAAGCACGCATGCCAGTATCTTGCTGGGCTGTGGCTGTGATGGCTTCCTCGGAAGACCCCTAGCTTCAGGATGGCTGCGGGCAGAAAGAGGGAGGGCAGGAAAGCACCCTGCCTCAGCCACACTCTGAGACCCACAGTGCCCAGCACAGGATTCACTGGGCCTTGGGGGCTACCTTGCAGAAGACCTGCTTGGGTCAGCTCTTGCTCTATACAGAGCCCCAGAGACTGGAGGGAGCTGAGTGCCCCTTCGTAGCCACTTCCAGGAAGCTGTGCCCCCTTCTTTTCCTGACTTTTCCTGCTCCTCCCAGACACTAGCTGGGGACCCCTACAGCCTCAGTTCCCATCCAGGAACCATGGGAGCAGAACTCAGCTCACTCGGGGTGCTCCTGGCAACCTGGCATCTCCCTGCCCTCCCAGAATGCATCTCCATGAGTCTGGGGCAGTGACGAGGATCTCATTTGGGGCCATGATAACCCACGAGCAAGCAGTGCCCAGGGCCCTGCTCTGAAGGGCAGAAGATGGGAGCGGCCGGACTCTCATGGTCGAAGCCAGGGTGGGCCAGGCGCCAGGGCAGCTGAGTGGTGCAATTCACAGAGAAACCTCCACCCTCTCAGGACCCAGCAGGAGCTGGAGGTCGCCACCACCAGAGTCCAGGAGTACTGCAACAGACTCCGCCAGGAGGCCAGCGAGCGGGAGCAGAGCGACCAGAAGCTGCTGGCAGACCTGGACGACCTGAACAGAACTAAGAAGTTCCTGGAGGAGCGGCTGATAGAGCTGCTCAGGTGAGTGCCAGCCCTGCGGTGGCCAGAACCCCTCCGCACTAGGCAGAGGACGCATCCTCTGTATGAGCCTCTGGTGGGGCCATGTGTCGCCCAGTCTACCCAGGCCCTGGCACCTGCTCAAGGCCAGGCCTCACTGTTCCCACTGGGGCTCCTCGCGGCTCCCAGGGTTCCCCCCCCACCCCTCCCTCCTGGACCTTCCCCTTCCTCGTCATCCCCCCCCCAGCACAAGAGGCCCCTGCGGGACCTGCAGCCCTAACGCTGCCACGGCCCAGTATGCCAGGTCAGCCTGCTTCTTGAGAGGAGAAGGAAATCGGGCTTCTATGGGAAACATCAGTGAAGTGTTAGCCATTCACAGCTTCTTCTTCTAGCGTCTTAACTTGTTATCAGTCTTTGAAAGTGAAGCTGGGTGCTCCTCTTGTTCGGGCCACCGCCTCCTCCTAATGTGGCTCTGCCCCAGGGACAAGGACGCACTGTGGCAGAAGTCTGATGCCCTGGAGTTCCAGCAGAAGCTCAGCACTGTGGAGCGGTGGCTCGGGGACACGGAGGCCACCCACTGCCTCGACTGCAAGCGCGAGTTCAGCTGGATGGTGCGGCGGCACCACTGCAGGTCAGCCAGTGCCTCGGGCTGTCCCCACGCTGGGTGGCCAAGCATGCATGCCGCCTCCTGGCTTAGGGGCGCAGGCACAAAGGGTGTGTCCGCTGGGGCCTAGCAGGAGCTTGGGGCTCCCTGAAAAGAGCTGGGCACAGCGGTGCAGGCAGGGCTAGCTGGTCTCCAGGGCTGTCGCCTGCCCAGAGACCGCAAGTCCTTCCTGTTGCCTGCCCTACAGGGGGCAGAGCCCTGCGAGCTGATGCTTGGGCTCCCCCGGGCCTGGGGCATGCTCCTCACCCTCCCCACCCCAGGGCCTTGAGAGAGCGATGAAGATGCAGAGTGCTCAGCACTGCCCAGGAGGTCTGGGTCTGAGCCTAGAGCCTGAGCCCAGGTGTGGCGCACACCCAGGCTGGTGTCAGGGAAGTGGGTCCCTCTCGTGGAAGTGAGTCGTCTTCCCCTGAGCTTGCGATGGTGGCTGTTCTGGAGCCTTATGTAACAGGCCATTGCCGCACATCGCAGGCCACAGCGCACTGGCCTCACAGCCCCGCCCTGCCTCATCCCCAGGGTGTGCAGCCGCGTCTTCTGCTACTACTGCTGCAATAACTACGTGCTGACCAAGCCCGGCGGCAGGAAGGAGCGCTGCTGCCGTGCCTGTTTCCGCAAGTTTAGCGAAGGCCCAGGCTCCCCCAGCAGCTCTGACTCGACCACCAGCCAAGGAGACCCCAGCCCCAGGCTGTCCCCGGCCCACACTGGGACCCAGGCCACAGGAAGCCAAGGTCAGAGCCCTGCCTGCAGTGCCCCCACCACCACTCGGGTAGCAAGCTCTAGCAAGCTGGCTGCAGCGTTTTGCAAAACTTCATTGTCAGAGAGGTGCTAGAAATACATTCCCACCCATCTGAGGTCACTGGGATCAAACAGAAAATAGCTTCTTCCTTGAGAGGATTCGGTGTGCTTTGGCCTGAGGCTTGTGTACAAAGGCCACCAGTGGAAGGCACCCCGCGTCAGCCCCTGTATCCCTCCTCGTTCCCACGGTAACCCAGGGCCAGCGTGCAGCTGTCCAGGTCCTCACTCTCGGGGGCCAGGAGGACATGCTGTCTCCATGTATCCCGGAGGATCCGCAAGGACACTGTTACATCCTGCCGCTGATTGGTATAAAGATCTTCCTGCTGGATGGGTGGCATGTACTTGGCACAGTGTTCGTCTTCAGATATTTTGCCCATTTTTAAAATGAGTTTTTTAATGCTTTGTGTATCCTGGACACAAGTTTCTTTCATCAGTACACACTTTACAAATATTTTCTTGGCTTTTAGTGCTACTGGCATTGCTTAACACGAGTATCAAATGGTCAGGCTTGTCTTCTGCCAGCTTTATAGTTTTAGGTTAATGGCCTATTTTGAGTTAATTTTTATGTATTATACAAAGTGTGAATAGAGGTTTGGTAAGTTTTTGGTTTGGGTTTTTTCTGTGTGTAGTTATCCAGTGGCTGACAGACTGTCCGCCTCTGTAGAACTGTTTTGGAACTTTCACCACAGATCAGTGGACCTTGTATCCATGGGTCTCTCTGGACTCTGTCCCGCTCCCTTTAGCTCCCTGCCTGTTTCATCCTCTTATGATAGCCAAAGTCCTATAAAGCATTGTAAAATCAAATAGAGTGAATGCTCCAATCTTGTTCTTTCTCAAAATATTGACTATTGTGGCTTCGTTATGTTTTTTTTAATTAACAATTTTATTTTATTTATTTATGTATTTATTTATTTATTGCCGTGGTACCAAGGATCGAACTCAGGACCTTGCACTTGCCAGGCAGGAGCTTAAGCCGCTGAACTATTTCCCCGGCCCCAATTTCTTTTTTTATGTATTTTAGGAAAGGAGCTACAGGGTATTCAGGGTCTCACTACTAGATTGGACTCTTAGTGATCCGCCTGTTTACAGCCTCCCAAGAGCTGGGGTTACAGGTGTGTGCCACCACGCCCAGTCTCAATTGCCATCTCAGCATGCCCTGAGGGCGGGGCTGGCACGGCAGGCCCGGGGATCAAACCCCCAGCCCCTGTGCCTGATCATAGGCGCTTTAATTCACTGAGCTATTTGGCCTGCCCCCCCTTCATTATGTTTCTACAGAAATTTATAGTCAATTTGTCAGTGTGTACTCTCCCCCACCCCCCAGTCCTGGTGAAATATTGATTGGGATTGCATCAAAATTGTATAGCTCAACTTAGGGAAAATTGATGTCTTAGTAAAACTGACTATTCCAATCCAGGAATATGGTACAGCTTCCATGTACTTAATGTCTTCTGTTTCTCTCAGTTTTGTGTTTTGTTTTGATTTGTTTTGTTCGTTTGTTTGCTGGCAGTGCCGGGGACTGAACCCAAGTCCTTTGCACTGAACCTTAATGGAAGAAAACTTACATTCTGAGACAAAGTCTTCCTAAGTTGCTCAGGTCGGGCTCGAACATGCGGACTTCTGCCCTCAGCCTCCCAGAGCGCTGGGATAGCATGCTCAGGCCACCACACCCGTTCCTTGTTTTGATTTCTGACATTTCCTGTCTGCTCATTTTTGTCTTTGCACCTTTTCTTCTTTCCTTTTCTCCAGCTCTTCCTTGCTCTACTCTTCCTGCTTTAGACTTGCCCTCGCGTTTTCCAGAACATACGCTAGCAGGCACTTGTGGACAGTGACTGGCACGGCTGCACCCGTCGAGCCTCCCTGTGCAGTGGCCTTCACCTGCCCCGTGCCTACTGTGCTCCTTGAGCAGAGTAAGGTCCCATCTCCTGCCAGAGCCCCGGAGGGATGCAGCGCAGGCCACGCAGGGCCTGCTTCAAAAAGGCCCGAGCGAGGGCTGCCTGTGCTCCACCCAACAAGGGTTTGCGGGAATGGAAGTATGTTTTCTCCTTTGTTTCTTTTTTCTTTTACATTTGTCAGTGAGATCATTTTTACGTGTGTTAGTCCACACTGAGGGCACGTAATGACCCTGCCCCTCGTGGGCTTCACACAGCTCGGCTCTGCCCACCTTCTCCTCTTCAGCCTCCATCTCTCAGTCGTGTCTCCATTTGCAAAAGCTCTGCTCCCTGTGTCCTGTATCTTTTTCTCCCTGTGTCCTGCAAGAAAAACCATTGACATTTAACCTTGCAGGTCTTTTCACTTAGCCTTAGTGCCCTTAGTTTCTTTCACGCTAAAGTTCTGATAGTTTTCCATATAGCAAGTGGCCCAGACAGTGTGAAGAGGCTGAAGCCTCTCCAAGGCCTGCCTTGCAAAGTCTCTCTGGTGGTGAAGTCAGGCTCAGGCACTGCCCCCGCCTTTCTGCACTGACCCCCAGTCATTCCTTGCTCTCGGGACAGAACATCTCTGCTGAGTGATGACTAGCGCTGTCCCAGGAGCACGGCCTGACCTCCCTGCCCGTGGTGACCATGCACCCTCTCTTCCCTCCTGCCCTGTCCTGTCACCAGGGGCTGACTACAGGCAGCCAGATGATGCTGTGTTTGACATCATCACGGACGAGGAGTTGTGCCAGATCCAGGAATCCGGCTCCTCTTTGCCAGAAACTCCCACGGAAACCGACTCTCTGGACCCGAGCATGGCCGAACAGTGAGTCAGAGCGCCCTCTCTGTTCCCCTGCGCACCTGGTTCTGTGCTTTCCTATCAGAGGACGGGAAAACATGACACCGGGAGCAGGGTTGGCTGTCTTGCTGAAGGGATGGCATCTCTAACACCACAGCCTCTCTCTAGGCTTGTGTGGTCACAGTGGTCAGCTCAGGCCACAGCAAGATGCCACGGACTAGTGGCTTACTCTGTAGCAAAGTGCCTTCCTGCAGCCCTGCAGGCCAGAAGCCCAGGCCAGGGTGGTGGCTGAATCGCTACTTCTCTGGCTTGGAGCTGGCCACACTCTTGCTGCCTGTCATATGGTCAGCTGTGTGTATATGCTGGTGCTGCCCTGTACCTCCTCACCTTCCTTCATAAAGACACTGGGCAAGTTGGATTAGGCCCACCCTAAAGGCCTCATTAATTTATTCTCTTCATTGATCTGCAAATGCAGTCAGGGTCTCGATATGGGGACCTGTGGATTTGCGGGAGACACAGTTCAGGCGCCATGCTGCCCTTGGCCACGCTGCTCTTTAGGAACCTTACTCTGGGCCCAGGTGGCTGGGTGCTGAAAGGAGATGTAGCTCAGTGCTAAGGATAGAACCCTGAGCTGTGGCTTGGGGCGCACACTGGGCAGGAGGGGCTGGGGGCTGCCTGGGGTTAGTGGCCAGGCTGGCTCTTTGTGTGAGCCCCAGCGTGGCAAGTTCCAGTCATCTTCAGGAAACATGGGTCAAGCTTGATGACAGCAGTGCTGGGAGAAAGGGAGCTGGGACCAGTGCAGCCGCTTGGGCAGGTGTGAGTGCTCTGTGGCACTTTGGCTCCCAGGAAGCCCCCTAGCAAACCCTAGCACCCCAAAGACTAACAGCGGCAGAAACGGAGGTGAGTGTGCTCTACCTCCGCAGAACCCTGGGCCCTGTCCACCCAGCAAGCAGGGCTGGCAGGGAGGCCGTCAGCCACAGGGCTGCTCTAGCACTGTCCTCTTGTTTGCCTGGGGTAGAAATTTTCCAGCAAGGGTCTGTCCATAGAAACATAAACTGCACAGAGTGCCATGTCAAAAATTTATGCCAGGAACCCACAGGCGGAGCGCCTTGCCTGCCCTCTCTCGGTCCCTGGCTTTAGCCCCATGCAGTTTCCGCAGCAAAGCACACTGGGCCCTAGAGGCTGAGCTCGGGCCTGGATGCCATGGATGGTGGCACAAGGAAGCACTGATCACACCCTGCTATGCGGTGTGGTCCCTAACAGGCTGCAGCATGACACTGGTCCATGGCCGGGGTGTCAGGACTCCTGGTTTGAAGGGCTCCCAGCAACCCTTATGCCTGTGCCCAGCACAATGGTGGCCTGAAACAGGAGCATAGCCCCTCGCCTGTGTCCCACGATGTCCCTTCAGAAGGCTGTAGACACATGGAGGCCTCTGCCCTCTCGGACACTGGCTCCCAGTGCCTCCAAACATGGGGTCCACTGTCATCAGACCAGAGGGTGGGCAGCTTTTGTCATGACAGGGGTAGCGCAAGGACCAGGAGGAGCAGACATGGCCTCCTCTTCTGGCGCGGATACACAGGTGAGGACCTAGAGCTGCAGCTTTCCTCTCTGGGGAGGGCCCTGACCGTGCAGACTGGCACACCCACCCTGCAGGGTCCCGGAGGGGAAGAGGCTGCCGGTGAGGCTGAGTCACCTGGGGTGGGGCAGCTAGCAAGTCCCTGCCTGTGAATAGTGACCCTGCCTGGTTGCCCTTTCCAGTTGCCTGGGTGGCTCTGAGCGTGGCAGAACTCGTCCCGGCTTGGGGCCCACAGAGCCTCCTTGCCAGCAATTGTAGGGACCCAGTGTCTGTGGGCAGGCGCTCAAGGAGCCGTGGGTGGGAGACTGAAACAGATCAAGAGTAGGCTGTGACGATCGCAGCTAAGGTTAGAAAGCCACAAGCTCTGCCCTCAGCCAAGAGCTGGGCCAGCGGGCACTCCTCAGTCTGCCAACTGCTACGCCCAGCGAGGGCAGAGGAGGCTATCGAGGGGAGTGTGGCTGTACCCTGCTGCGTGAACCTGGCAGGGTCTGACCCCAAGAGACAGGGTCTGCAGTGCTCTTCTCTAAGAGCCTGGCACAGCGGCCCTGAGAGTAGGTGCTACTATGGTCCACATTTTACCCAAAAGAAGGGAGGCAGGTGGCCTGAGGTCTGCCCGCTGTGCAGGCCTCCCACCGACCCAGCTGTGGCCGGCCTCACTGTGTATTGTGCCCAGCTGTTGTCATCTGTCTGTATCTTGGTGGGTGACTTATGTGAGCCCTATGAGTGTCTTAAGCCAGCTGCATGACCGTCAGAATGGGAAGGTCGGATGTAAGGCCACATCGTCCAGTGACACACTAAAACTCGGACAAGTGCACCCAGTGCTGTGGGGAGGAGGTGGAGACCACAGAGAGGGCCGAGATTGTAGCCCGTGGTGCACTGCACACACGCACAGGACACCCCTTATTCTCATGCTCTGAACATAAAAGGTGTCGTGAAGTCATGAAGTTCATGTGTTGTTTAAGGTGTGAGTGTGTGTGTGTGTGTGTGTGTGCGCGCGCATGCGCACGCCTGTGTATGTGCACTCGAGCATGTATTGTGAAGCAGGTGTTGGGTAATTCTGTTTTTGAATGACAAAAGCCACTAACGAATCTGCTATAGAAAGGCTGTTTCAATTTGTTAGACTCTTAAGCTGTGTTTCGAATGTGTGTGGCCGGCGTTCTCAGCCAGCTCTGACTGGCTCAGATCCATTTGCAGCCACACTGCCACTCCTCCCCGCCACAGTCAGAGCGTGAGCGCTGGACTGCTCCAGAGGCCACACCTGGCCGCCCATGCCTGAGACCGTTCTTGGGAGTGCCTGGGGTTGAGGTCGGAGCCGCGCTGACAGAGGAGCGTTCACTGGGGAGGAACGCTTTGGTGTAATATTTATTCCTGTTATGAACAGTGTTTACAAGGTAGGCAAGAGCGGCTGCCTGCGAAAGGGGCTGTCGTGCGCTGGAGAGCAGAGATCCCGTCGGAGGTCGCACAGAGCCCTCTGGCAGCCTGCGTGGGGAAGCCTTGGAGTCTGTGCTGGGAGCCTGAAGGCGACGTCTACAGGCGAGGGAGAGGCCCGAGCCCCTCCAAAGGAACAAAAGCGAGCCTTCCTCCTCTTGCCTTCTTTATTCCACCCAGGCCACAAGCTTGTCGGGCAGTGCCACCCTGCTGAGGCAGGCCTTCCTCTTCAGCAAGTCTGTCATCCAGATGAGCCCAGGGCTGTGCAAAACCAGCCTGCTGGACGTTGCTGTTCAGGTTGATACCGCAGTCCGTGGTCACAGCCATCAGGGCGCCTTATGTCCACCTCTGGCCCACTAGTAGGAGGAATCTTCTGGCCTCAGGTGTCTAGTGTGGGCCTGCCGTTCACAGCACTGTCTGCTGTGTACCTGCTCCAGCCTAGTCCCAGTCCAGCCACGGAGGGCCTGAGACTCAAGTATCATACCCAGTGCCTTGGTTTGGGTATTCTTGAGGACAGAGGAAGAAAAGCTTTAGAGAAATTTATGCCTGCCCCCCTTGAGCACAAAGGTTGGGTATTAAGAAGCCAGCAGGAAGCATTGTGGCACACATCTGCAATCCCAGCGTTCTGAGAAGTGGAGGCGGGAGGGTCACAATTCAAGTCCAGCCTGGGCACCTTAGCCACTTTTTTTTCTTTCTTTCTTCC